GGCCGCTCTACACAGAGCGGCCGAGCCAGGCCAGCCGGTGGTGCTCAGCACACGAGGCGGCTGCCGCAGGGTGGTATAGAAAAGAGTGCGCTGTCCAGTGGCGGACGGTCGCACATTTTTAAGCAACAGCCTGTTGCGTACAGCTGCCTGCGCAGCACCCTGCCCTCGCGGGCTGACAGGGAGCGCGCTGCGCTGGCTTGATCATCATGCTCCGCGATGCCGTGCGGCGCAGGTGGGCGATGCTGGGCGCTGCGGGCATCATCGGCCCGGAGATCCTGGGCCACTACGGCCTCATCCCCGAGGCCACCCGTGAGTGACGTCACCACGCCCGCGCACCGGCCCCGCTGCTGCCAGCGTTCCTGCTGCCCCTGCTGCTTCTTCTGCCGCCGCACCAGAACTTTTTATCAGAAATGTTGTTAGCATCTCTGCACTGTGCATTCAGACGATGCAGTGCAGCGTACGCTTCGCAGCTGCGACTGCATTACGGACGGCGGCCCTGGCCTCGTTGCTGCCCAGCGCAACCCCTGCCAACCAACCCGCGACCCTCTCGCTCCCACTCGACACACCAGGGGTCGACTGGTGGCGCACCGGCGTGATCCCGCCGGCGGGCACCTACGACAACTACTGGACCGACCCCTACACCCTCTTTGCTATTGAGGTGGTGCTGATCCAGTTTGCGGAGCTGAAGCGCCTGCAGGACTTCCGCTACCCCGGCTCCCAGGGCAAGCAGTACTTCCTCGGCATCGAGAAGGTGGGGGGTCACAGGGGTCTGTGGGGGCGGCCTTGATGGATCTCCACACAATTTTGCAAGGGTCGTGCGCCCGCCCGCGCGGGGAGACGCTGTGCAGATCAGAATTGCAGGCGCTGCCCAGGAGGCAGTGAGCGCACTGGTAGGCGCGCGTGCACACGAACACACACCCACACACCCACACACGCACACTTGCACCATCGTCCGCCCCCCTGCACCCCAGGTGTTTGAGGGCAGCGGCAACCCGGCCTACCCCGGCGGCCCCTGGTTCAACATGTTCAACCTGGGCAAGACCGAGGCCGAGCTCAACACCCTGAAGCTCAAGGAGATCAAGAACGGCCGCCTGGCCATGCTCGCGGTGTTCGGCTTCGGCGCGCAGGCCATCGCCACCCAGAAGGGCCCCTACCAGGTGCGTGTGTGTGTCTGGGGGGGGGGGATGCATCTTGAGTGTGAACGTGTTGGCATGGCAGGTTTGTGGGAGGGAGGGCGAGCGTGCGGGTGTGCGTGAGAGAGAGAGTGTGTGTGTGTGGGCGATTTCGTCCCATCATTGGGCGCATGCCCAATGTGAGGGCGTAATTGCTTGCCATGCGGGGCGTTGGGTGCACCCCGGATTGGTTCTCTGCCACCATGACTAAAATGCTCGGACCAACTGCGCAGTGCACGCTATGCGTGATAGCGCGTGTAAGCTTGGGCCTGCGCTCCGCACTCCGCCAAAATGTCGACGAGCTTGGCGCACCACACCAGCTGTCCCCCGGCTGTTCCAGTATCTGTCATGCTCACCCACAAAATCACTCTCATGCTCCCCAACCACCCGCCCCTTCAACTTCCAGAACCTCCTGGACCACCTGGCCGACCCCACCGGCAACAACATCCTCACCAACTTCGCCAAGGTCCTCAGCCTCTGATCTGATCAGCAAACAACAACCGCCGCCAACAGCCATGGCTGCGGCCGCAGCCCACAACGGCAGCCGCAAGCCCACTCCGCAGGGCGCGCGCTCGAGGGCCTTGTCGCGGCTCGCCCCTGTGCACGGCGCGCCGCCCCGCGTTTCTTTCTTGCTCAGCGCCGCTTTTTGAGTCGCCTGCACATGATATGAGTGGCGCTTTACCTTGAGTGTGTGGCGCGTGCGCCCGCCCGCGCCCCTCTGCTGGAGAGCCGCGGAGGCAGGCGCCACGGCGGCGAGTTTGCGCCTCCGGCGCCGAGTGCCTGGCGCACGGCGCTAGTGCTGGACGCCGCGCAACGTAGCGTGTAGGATGAGCGGGGACGCCTGGCGGCCCGCGCAGCCCTGGGCTGTGGCCATGTCGCAACCCATGTAAAGCCGGTCCCCTCCCTGTTTCAAGTCTTGTATTCCAGGGGAGAGTGAACCCGCCTGGGCAGCTGTAGATTGTGCGCGTTGGTCAGGCAGCAAGCGGCGCATCTCGGCTGAGGCCCTTGACAGGTGAGGCTGACAGTCACTGCAAACATTGACCACATGTGAATGTGGATAGGTATCAACCAATCAACCAGAATCAGTTACTGCAGCATGTAGCTGTCAAAAGAACAGAAAAAAGTCAACATAGTCCAGTTGGATTGCAGTCCTGCCCGACGCACAGGTGCACGCCATACCCAAAAAAAGTCAAAATGTTGGAAAACCTGAGTTTTGAGGCGAACAGGAAGAGTGTGCTTCATGTCTGATCGCGCGTCGCCGGACGCACACCATTGCACACCAGCAAGGCGCGACGAACACGCGGGACCCACCCCTTGTGCTCAAGACGGCAATACCGATCTGAGCTCCAGCGGCCCCGTCTCCGCCCCCGCGGCGCGCCCGGCCACCTCCCCCGACCGCAGCGCGTGGAGCGCCCACGTGATGCCGAACATGAGCCCGGGGGACTTGGGCAGCGCCGCATCCAGCACAAACGCGAGCGCCGAATCAAAGGGCAGCGCCAGCACCTCGATCGCCTCGCCGTGGCCCTTGAGGCCGCCGCCCTCGCCCACGCGGCCGGCCTCGTCGACCGCCGCGTAGTATATGTGGTGCTCCGCGCCCGTCGTGCCGCTGCTCGAGACCGCCGACGTCACGTGGCGCAGCTGCGAGGCGGCTACCCGGTAGCCGCACTCCTCCTCGATCTCCTCTGACGTGATTTCTTCGAGGGACTTGCCGCCCTTGTCGACCAGCCCCGCGCACAGCTCAAACGTAAAGCCTGTCGGGGTCGACGGATCGAGCAGCGGCACGAAGGCGGGGGCGCAGATCAGAGCTCTCCTGAAGAGATGCGGGGGGCAGGCTTGCGGGGGGCGGGGCGGCAGCGCCGAGGGCGCTTCCTGATGCGGCTCTCAAGCGATGCAAGGCCGCTGTGCCTGGGGCTGTAGGCGGCGTGCTGCTGACGAGGCACGGGGCCGGGGTGTGGCGACAGGGCGGGGCCCCCCGCACCCGAGTCCTTGGGCGGCTGCGGATGCCCCTTCTCGGCCGCTTCGCGGCACTTGGCCGCGTAGACTGCGGGCCGGAACTGGCGGACTATGACGAATGCGTCCTTGTCCTGGCGAAAATGAATGTGAGATGGGTTGGCGTTGTGGATGTGATGGGTGGTGTGAGAAGGGTGTCACAGGAGGCACGGGTGAGGAGGAGAGCGCGCGGCCAGGCTGCTCTGTTGGATCTGATCTGACCTACCCCATAGGCAAGGGTGTGGTGATGAGGAGACAGCCTTGTGCAGGCTGCCAGGGTGCTGCCAATCCACTCCATGCTTCGTCAGGCGACCATCACGCGGCAAGGTGAAGACAAGCGCAGCACTCAAGAATGACAGGGCGGAGGGCAGCAGCAGCAGCCACAGCCGTGGCAAGAGCCGCGCTCGACGCCCCCAGTCACTGCCAACAGCACAGGCAACAGCAGCCAGCGAATCAGCAGCAGCAGCAGCAGCAGCAGCAGCAGCAGCAGCAGCAGCAGCAGCAGCAGCAGCAGCAGCAGCAGCAGCAGCAGCAACCGCCCACGGACCCTGTTTGCCTGCCAACAGGGCTCGCGCCGCAGACAGACGGGGCCAGCTGCCCAGCAGCTACCCAGTGCCCCCTTGAGACCCACCCGATGGTACAGCACGACCCCCACCGACGCGTGCGCCTTGACTATATCCCACCGCCGCTCCTTCCCTGCGTGCGCGGCGGCGGCGGAGGGCCGGCCTTGGACCCAGGCTGCTGTGCGGCGCCGGGCCGGCGCTGCCGCGCGTCTGGCTATGCCCGCCGCTGCACACGCCCAGCCCTCGGCGCCCGCAGCGCAAGGGTGCAAGGCGCCACAAATCACGGTTGCGCCACAAAGCACGTTCGTTCCAGATGCCGCCTGCAGCAAGGGCTGGTTTTTGAGCCTCACCATCCAGCTCATAAAGGATTGATGCAGGGCGCACGAATTGGGAGGTGGTCTCCAGTGGAACCTCCCTGAATCCCCCCAGGCGCGAAAGTACGCTGCTGATTGGGGCGCCTGATCGGGGTGAAAGGGTGCCCGGCAGAGGTGAGGGGTTGGCTGTGCGTACCGTATGCATGCACCCGATTGCATGTGTTTGGGGCGGCGCCCCGCCCCCTACAGCCACGGCGGCGAGCCGCTTGCTGCGCTGCTGATGCGCATACCATACACTGCAAGAAGCTTGTGTTTGCGGCCGAAGCCATGCGGACGCCTGCCAGCGAGGGGCATGCAGCATGTGGGCACGGCGGTGTCACAGGATGAGCAGCACTCACCGCTAAGCGAAACCAGGCCGTGCGGGTAGTGTGCCATGGCCCTTGGCCTCACACCTAGCCTTCGCGACTGTAGCGTTTGCTGGAGGACACTTTTTGTGCAACGCACCCCTAGTCTGCCAGCTGCGTGCATGGGCTTGTGATGACGCCGTGTTCAGACAGGGGATCGCGAGAAGCCTGAGTAACTAGCGGCTACAAACAACTAAGATTTCGCAATTGACCAATGTGCGGTGCAACCTGACGTGCTCGCTTTCAGATCATTCTTTTGGAGCACATGTCATTGTGTTTTGGGGGACCCAGCACCGAAGTAGGAATAGCAGGTGAAGGGTGTCTCAGGCGTCATCACCGCCGTCCGATCGCTTCACAATGGGTGCAAAAAACGCGCATTGACCGGCACGGTCAGCCGAAGGCTTGCTTGTGCGCTGAGATGCACCTTGGCCCAGGGGTGGCTGTTCAGCACACATGGTGTGGGACCTTGGAGGCTGTCATACCAGATGTGGTGACGATTCGCTTACATGCTATGCTCCTGTCCAGCCAGTGCGCAGCCAACAATGAGACCGCTGTCGCAGAACCTTTGCCCGCTCTCGCCATCGCCCATCGACAACAAGGCTTTTCGGCAAAACCGCTCCCACAGCAGCCCCGATTGATATCATCGACAGTGACCAAGCTTCCGTGCCGCTGGGTTCTGTGTATGCTGTGGCAGCGGCTCACACAACGGATGACCCTAGGACTGGCTGTGGAGCGCCACCGCAGACTTCTGGCACCAGCAGCGAGCTCAGCAGGTGGCCGCACCACGCTGCTTGCGAGTGTCTGGCATGCAGCATGCGCTGAGGGCCCCGTCGCTGCCGTCGCTGCTGTCGACACCCCCATCATCATCGCAGTTGCCGGCATCGGCGGTGGCACCCCCGGCGCTCGCATTATTCGATGCAGTGAGTCACTGCCGACACTGCCCGCGCTGCTGCTCAAGTTTCACATCGCACCGCAGGTCGTGGTGGCAAAACTGGTGCTGCGCTGGCTGTTGTTCCCGGTTACAACTAGCAAGGGCTTGGCGATAGCCGTGACAAAGCATGCTGCCCGTTGTGCTTCCTGCGCAAGCGCAGCAGCGCGCAGCTCCGGCTGCGCAACTCTTGCGCTCTAGGGGCATACACGCACACACGCACGCACGCACGCACGCACACGTCACGCACATCACACACACACGCACGCACGCGCGCACGTCATGCATGTATGTGCACGCCTTCATGCATGTGCAGGTAAACAGGGCTGGCCGCATGACACAGCACAAGCAGCCCTGTCACATTGCACGACTTTCCTCCTTGGCGCCGCTCTGGCACCAAGGTGTACTCCTGCACAAGTTTCGACATCTCATAAACCTCCAGCGTGGATCGACGACCAGCACGACTTGCAAGCACTCTCCGGAACGCGTGAAAATGGTTGAAACAGGGCCCGCTGCGAACTGGGTGCAGGCCTCGCCGCCCCCCAACACCCCCATAAATTGCCCGGCCCCTGGCATGGCAGCCCCGCGTGCCTCATCACGCATTGTGACCTTCACAAATAGGCTGTTGCATGTCGTGTAAGTGAACGTGCCGATAGCCGGCGCTGCGGCATGCGCAACTGAATGGAGGCGGCACATGGCCCTAACATCTCCCATTCAAGCTGTCACGCACACCAGATTGATGTCGATTTTCTTGTACTATGATCCTGAAAATAGACGCTCGGGGTGCCTGCCTTCCTGTGTAGACAAGCATTGCCATCACATTTACGACATCTCGAAGACCGTGCTGATCGGCCTCCCACGCAACCGCAAACAACGCAATAAAAATTGCGACAGATCCTGATCTACACGATCATTGACCAGGCCTGAGTGTCCCGTGGGCAGCAACCCGTCAGCCTGCAGGCACCTGAGTTCTTCCCCATACAAATCCACGCTTTGCTACCACATCCACACCTCAGAGTCACATCCCACTGACAAAATGGCTCTCGCTCAGAAGGCTGCCTGCGCCCGTGTGGCCAGCAAGAGGGCCATCGCGCCCGCTCGCGCGGCCGTGCGCCCTCTGGTGGTGCGCGCCTCCGCTCAGAGCAACAAGGTGCGTCAGATAGTAGGCTGTTGCATCCGGCTGAGACAGACGTGCTTTCACGGAGCACGCCGGGGCACTGCAGACGATCTGTTTCGAGGCCTGACAATCCATCCATTGGCTCTGCGCAGGCTGCGGTGGCCAGCTTTGCTGCGAGTGCCTCCGTCCTGGCGCTGGCGGTGCCTCAGGCCGCGCAGGCCGCTCAGGAGGCCTTCATGATGGCCGAGGTGATTGCGCGGGCCACCGAACGCACTTCGATTGGCGATAACCAGACGATTATCATTGCATAATTCCACGACCCGGATTCGGCGGCAGCAGCTGCGGCGCCGGCGCCACAGGCGCTGCTCGCTGCCACTGCCATCCTGTAGTAGCACAGCCCAGCCGCCCGCTTCTGCTTTGCCAGCCCAGCATCTTGTTCTGGGCTGTCGTCAGCAGGTTGTCGACACGGATTGCTGCTGGTTCCACCCAGCGGATCTACTGGCAGTGGGATGTGTTTTGACATGGAGCTCCGCTTGGACAAGAGGACCTCACCCACACCCTCCCCACTCCATTGACACACAGGGCGAGCCCGCCATCGTGCAGATCGGGTGGGCAGCCACCGCTGTCATGTTCTCCTTCTCCCTGTCCCTTGTTGTCTGGGGCCGCTCCGGCATGTAAAGCCCCACACTGCCCAGCATTTTGAGAGCAGAGGCATAGCAGCGGCGGCACCCATGGCAGCAGCTTCTCTGGCGCATGCGTGCATGGCCGCAGGGCGTGGCGGTCGGGCGGCTGGCAGCAGCGGCCTTGGGCGGGAAAGCGCAGCACAGCAGCCGAGCGACTGCTGGCACGGTCAGTAGGGGTTGATGTGGCCTGGCACAGTGCGCCCATTTGACGCATTGACACGCCCACCGGCACCCGTTCCCCGAGCCAACGACCTGACATTTGACACGAGGGAACCGCATTTGCATTTTTACACGCTAGCGCGCTAGTGTAATGCAGACGTGGCATAATCCAGCTCTGTTCTGGGCAACGTGCAAGGCACAAACAGCCTTGATCAATGCAGCCGCATTGACATTGGTGCAGTATCAGGGGTCACGAGTTTTGCCCTGCGAGTGGTGAACCAGAGTAAATGCCTGCGTGAGAGGTGTGGGGAATGGCCTAGAGGGCATCGAGAGCAGGACGGACGTCGACGTGCAATAACGACAACAGGCGCGGTCGGCTGCACAAAGGGCGGGGTGGCACACAAGGGGGCACACACCACAACAGGGCTCAGAATGAGTAGGAGGTGAAAGTCTCGTCACGGTGAATAGGAAAGGTGTATCCTCACAGCCCTGAGCAATAGATCTCGTACTATGTGGCGCAGGGACGCTTGAGTCGGGGCAGCATGCACGGAGGACAGCATGCACCGGGGACATCACACGGCCCTGCTCACGTTTGAACTTCTGGGCGTCTGTTGGTAGATGACCCTGACCTTCACAGGTTGGCGGGGCCACCGGTGGGGCCTGCAACAGCAGCAGAGTCGAGGGTGCAAGCATCCGGGCCCGCGTAAGTGAAACATGCGGCGACATTGTCATTCACCCAGCTAGGAAGGGAAGGCAGGAATGCAGAGAAACCTGTTGTTAGAGAATGAGGGGCCGTGGATTGAGCCGTCACCCAATGAATTGGGGCGCGCCTCACCCATTTTGCCGTCCCGCAGCTGCTTTGCCTGGCATGGACGAGAGGGCGCGTCATGGCACACGCCACATGCGCTGACGCCCTCTGCTTTTTAGCCAGGGCTGGTGGCCTGCACTGGGCAGACAACAACGCAAGCACCCTTTGTCATACAAAAGCCCTACTCACACGGATGGTGATGGCAGCCAGGGGCGGCGGCGGGTCGCTGCAGCGGCGGCTCGCCGGCGGCAAGCCGTCGCAACCTGCAACGACTGTTCAAGCGTCTGCGCGGATACATCAAGAGTTCGGGGCCCTCTGGATGCCGATAGCCACGCCAAGAGTGGGCAGGCGATGCAGGGATACGAGTTGAGGGCGATCTGGCCGCGTGATCACTGAGACCGACACCCTAGTGGGTTCGTCCATCATCAGGGTGCATAGTGTGACGTGTGATAGTGCTTTACCGCTGAAAAGCGGTGCTCAGCCGCCTGGCGGCTGAGGCCTGCCAGATCTCAGCAGCAAGGACGCCATTCTGACACAGCTCGGGTCGCCCAAGCGTTGAGGTAGAAATAAACGTCAATAAACTGCAACGGACTTGGGCCGGTCTTGAACTCGGGCGAGCGGTCTGGTGATCGTGCACCTGCCGCCGCTGCATTACTACCGTACCGGCAGCTGGATCACTGCTGCACATGCGCAAAGCCAGGAACATTAAATGAAGTGGGTTTCGGCAGTCAAATGTGCCTCGAAATGCTGTTGGTTACCCGTTTTGCTACTCGCAATGGAGTCTTGACTGGGCGCGCTCATGCACTGGGGTCAGGTGAAATTAAAATTGAGGCGGCTGCTTGCCTCGAATGTGAACGCGCCTTGCTGGAATGTATTGACGGCGCCGTGTGTCACATCAACATCACAATAAGAATCAAGTATAAAAACGGCACCATGGATGTCGTAGCTGCCCGAGTCACTTCAGGCCAGTTGCCTGTCCTGACGGTGTCGACTCAAATTCAACCAGTGCCGCCCCTTTCAATCGGCGCACGCGCAAGAACACTGCTGCCGTCCCTTTGAAGAGTGGCGCCCCTGCCCTTGCCTGTCCCCTTGAAGCGTGGTGCCCCTGCCCTTGCCCTTCAATCCCGACCCATTGCGTAAAGGAAGTTCAAGAGTCCTGGCAGCCACAATTGTCCCAGCCTCTCGCTGAACGCCCGCGACTGCCAAACGCAGCGCAAATGCACGCCACCCGCGATGGGCCTTGTTGCAACCAGCTCCCCTTAACGGCTGCCGCCTGCCCTGTGGGAGCCCGTGTTGAGGTTGCGCGAGCTCACCGCGCGGCCCGCCGCCGCCCTGGCCGCGCGGCCCGCCGCGGCGGCACCGTCGCTGTTGCCGCTGCTGCCGTCCCCGGAGCCGCCGATGTTGCGCTGGGAATTGCGCCTCTGCGCGTGGGTATGAGGCAAATGGGCGGGTGTGGGGGCGTGAGAGCGCTGTGGGCGGGCGCCGCGTGCGTGCGTGCACGAGGGGCACGGTGTCGCTCTTCTTTCCCCCGCCCTCAAAGCGCGGCGGCAGCGGAGGTACGCTGCTTTGCTTTGGTTGGGGGCATTGCTGACACTCGACGCATTACTGGGGCGTGGAGGGCACGCCGCACACCGCCTCAGGTCGCATGCAAGCAGGACACCAGCCGGCGGGAGGGGTCGCGTTTGCGCGCCAACGCCACAGGGCTGCTTGCAGAGCATGCACTTGCCGGCAAGGTGCGTGGCCGTTATCAAGGCTTCTGATGTTGCTGCTTTTGGTGCTGTCAGTGCTGGTGCTGCGAATGCTGTGCGCGCATGGTGACCCGAGAGCGCCTGGATGGCTCCAGAAGCGGGCGACCGAGGGATCCTGCAACAATTCTGATCTGAATCCTAGGACGCACCTGGTGCAGCGTAATCCAGGGGTGCTGCAGCAGCTCCGCCACAGTGGGCCTGTCCGCGGGGTTGCGCTGCAGCGCCCAGTCCACAAAGTCGCGCTGCTCCTCGCTCATCTTTGAGGGGTACTGCACCTGCCGTTTCGAATTCCACAATCACGCGATCACAACAAGGGTTGAGTGATAAGGGAGGTCGTATCGGAAAAGCTTTCATTATGTCAAGGGTGAGCAAAATCTGAGCTGGGTGTGGCGTTAGTGGGGACCGTGGGGCGTGCCTTCGGCGTGAGGGATAGCTAGGTGGCTGCCGGCACACCCATGCGCAGGCATTGCACATTATCAACTATCTATATCAGTAGTGCACGCCAACTCATCATAAGTAACAATCTATATCAGTATTGCAAGAGGCGGACAACAAATCAATTGGCTTACTTTGCCAGCCTGGATGCGGGCGGTGATGTCAGCGGTCTTCTCAGCGATGAAGGGCGGGAAGCCCACGGTCTGCGGTCACGTGCGGCGCATGGACTCCATTGGACGGCGATGCGGGTCGAATGCCGCAGTGACCGAGCCCCCGAGATCAGGGGCAACAGCTGCTGGCTGGCGGTGGAACCAAGGCTGCGCAATCACAGTCGCACGCGCCGAGCTGCAGATGCGACTATGTGATGCCAGAATATACAAACAGTACTTGAGAGCAGTCGGCCGAGCAGGGCTGACCCGGCTGCGGGTTAATGGACCGCGCCAGTGCCTTGACAGATTGTATCTTCCGCCCAACAGCTGGCAAACCCCGCCCTCCCAGGCCCCCATGAGCCCACCAGCTCAAACGCGAGGCAGCCGACGGCCCACGTGTCTACGCTGCTTGTGTAGTGCAGGCGCTTGATCTCTGGAAGTCGAGAGGACGGCGGCGCGTCGGCGCCGGCGGGCAGGTAGGCGCGCATGAGCGAGCGGGATCAATGGCGGCTTTGCGTGCTTGCTTTTGGTCAGATGAAGCTGCATGAGAAGCACACAAGTCCCAGAGGACCGTTTGTAGGGGGGCCTGTGAAATCATCCGGCATCATGCATATGATACACACGCACACGGCGCAAGCAGTGGCCAGGCTGCAGGCGCGCGGTGGGGCTGCAGGAAAGGAGGGGGCAGGCGCTTGAGCAGTGGGATGTGTGCCCACCCTTGTTCTCCTGGGGGTCGTCCTTGAGGGGGCAGTTGAGTACCTCCGGGGCCATGTAGTGCTGCGGTGATCAGGAGTGAACAGGAGCAAAAAGGGTCAAGGAGCAGGTGCGTAGTGTGGAGGTGAATTTTCCGGTGGGTGGGCGGGCTGGTGGGTGCTCAACGATGAGGACAGGTGATTGCAGCACGAAAGTCTTCACACTTGGTGCTGGCGTTTTGGGGACGGCGCCCGCAGCAAGAACGGGTGTGTGCCAAAGGGAAGGTGGCACATGGGGCGGGATCGGCTCTCAGCTATGGCCGCTACGATAAGAATGCTCACCAGGGTCCCTGCCGGGGCACCGCAAGAGAGACAGCCATGGGCATGGTGGAGTGGAAGAGGAGTTTGAGAGCAGGTGTATGGGTGAGTGGTTCTCAACGCTGACGGTCAGCGGCGCACCATCTGTTACGAAAAAAGCGAATCACCCCACCACTCAATACAACAACCCTGTACACACACCGAAACACGTCCCCTCGTTCGTACACACAAGCCCCACGCCCGCATTCTTATCCCAGTGACACATCGCCCCCGCCCCCATCGCCCCCCAACACCCGCT